AATTGTTGGAAGGAGGTTGAGTGTTAAGAAGACACTACCTCGCATAATTGCAAGCATCCCTTGACCATCATCGTCGGGCAGAGCCTGTAAATGCAAACACACACACACACAAACAGCCAAAAGTGTGAAAGAGAAGGGCAATTGAAATGTTTGTCTAGTTGCTACCATATTTCACTACAATGACCTCATACATCTCGTCAAGTAGGACTGTTTACTTGATCATGTGAATATGAAAACTATTCACAAAAACAGTTGTTATGAAAAGTGACAAATAGAAGTGTTTACCACACAAAGAGGCTCAACGATTGCATTGTCTTCTTCCTCATGTGACAGTTTGAACGGTGACTTTGAAACACAATGTCTAAGAAGGCTTATCATTATGTCCATCCATAAATCATGTGAAACTTTTATTCCAGGCAGGCAGGCATTCACACACAACTCAGCCAATTTCTTCATTGATGGAGCATCCAATCCCTCCAACTGCTCTTCGTAGTCATGAAGTAGGAGAATGGTGCCTAAAGCTGTGCACAACTCCACAGCTCGTTCCTGTTTTCGAATTTTGTGCTTCCAGTACTCCCCGGTCATAGGGAGAGCACAGAGTGCACTGATGAGGATGATGCAATGATCAAACCAGGTCTGCATTAGTTGAACATTCTCGCCTCCATTCACACTAATCACCTTCATAGCACGCACTGCAAGAAGGAGGAATGTTGTAAAATCCGATGAAATGCCGGACTGTTGTACGGAGGTGATCAAATTGGTGATTAAGATGAAGGCATAACAACCTATTCGCACTCGCCACAGTGGCAATGCGTGGATCAATTTGAGGGAGAAGATCCAGTCTCGAATGGACGTATTGTAGACGAGAGACGCAATAAGTGTAGCTGTGACCTCACCAGAAACGTGTATTTGATGCTGAGCCATATAAGAGAGACAATTCACCAAGCACTGAATCAGCACGGACACCACAAGGTGAAATTGACCCTCCGTCTGGTCCAGGTAACTTCTGGACTCTGGAGTGAGGAGGAGGGCAAGAGCAGAACTTAAAGCAACGAGGATTTGTGTACATTCTTCTTGGTTGGCGTCATGGCCACCCAAGACAGACGTGTCAACAAAAGTAGCCCGAAGAGCACGAAGGTGCGAAATTAGGGCCTCTACGTCTTCCTTTTCCCAAGGAGTCTGTTTCCACGATTCAGTCAATGAAACTATGCTTTCTAAGTGTTGCATCTGAAAGAAAAATGCAGAACCATTGAAACGTATGCTCATCAAAAAGATGAGAAATGTACTCATGAGGAGGGTTTCAACTCCTTGCAGCATCTTTAGTCTAGACCTCACGTCTAGGACCTACTGAAGTTGAAGCTTCAGTATGTGTTCAGCCTTCGTAAGGAGCAAACAATCTGATTTAGAATTACCACCTCACCTGGTTGGATGGAATGGGAGCCCATTGAACCAATGACGCCAAAATGATCACAAACAGACATCAAATAACGCAGGACAAGATCAAATAGTAGTATTTATTTTTATAATGCATAATATAATAATAACAAGTCTTGAACATACATACATAGAGAGACAGAGAGAGAGAGAGAGAGATTCAGTGCACACACGCAATCTGCACACAAAATGTGCATTTTTCGGTGGATCTCTCGGCCTCTTGCATACTATGCATTCCAGTAAAGGCAATAATGGAAGGAAAGAAGGCGCAGTTTAGGACCGAGAGCGTTTGTCAGACTAAGGAGGATGGATGGCGATAGAGAGAGAAAGAGAGGAATAAAACGGTTCCCTAATGTGAATACATATGTACACCGGATGAAATGCAAGGAGTGTGTGGTGATAGGGAAAGAGAAAAAAGAGGCATCACTGCCTAGATGAGGGGGAAGCTGCGGCGGGTACGAAGGCCAGACGGGGTCGTTTGGGCTCCAGTACGCTGACCAGTGCAGGAGAGTTGACCTGGCTTGGTGCTGGTGGATTCGACGCCAAGGTGGTGTTTGAGGCGGCTGTAGATCGTGACAACAACCCGCCACCAATCGGCACCTTCACGATGTTTACGCCGCCTGACGGCAGGTCAGGATCGTTGCAAATCTGAATCGTCATGCAATAATGTATTGAAATGATAGGATAATGAGAATAAATAGAGTAGTATACTTACGATAGTAGTGGAACTGGAGAGACGATAGTTAGGTTGGACATGTTGGTGATTGTAACTCTGCACTTGAGTTCCAGAGAGTAGAGGGGCAAGGGTAGTGTTGCCAGTTGCGGAGGCAACAGGAGTGGATGGGGTGACAATAGGATTGTTTACAGGGAGGATGCGAACTGAACGACTTGGGGTTGTCACAATTGGCAACGTTGTGGATGAATTAGAGGACAAATTTGTCGCAATGCTCATGTGAGGCGAGTTTGACAATGCTGAACTTGCAGAGACAAGACGGTTTGTGGGGCCTAAAATTAGAGGTCAAATTGTCTCCTTCAAATTGGGCACCAAGCAAGATGTCGTCACCTAAAACAATCATTCACGAGCAGAGTAAAATAATCAAAACCAGGGTCCACTTATGAAGAGCTGTAAGCTACAGTTCTAAATTCGTTAGAAGCGACAAAATCTCCACTCCACAGCATTGTATATACCGTCAATTAAAACAGAAACAAGGCTGCGATTAGCTTGAGGAACATAATCGACTTAAATTAAAAAGTTCTGACACGATAACCCGGGAGACAAAACAAACCTCGATGAACAACAATCACATTTCCAGCAGTTGAGCCTGCAATTTGAGACTGCTGCTGTTGAATCACAACGGGATGTTGCTGTGATTGTTGGTGTTTCTTGGTATCAGCAAGAATAGTGGAAGCGGAGAGCTGCGTCGTAGACGCAACACCTGATTGGTAGCCTATAACAGGTGGGTAGTTTTTGACAATACGTGAAGCGTTCACAGATTGAGATACGTAAGCTGTTGGACCAGTTGTGCCCGTTACCACCACAGTGGTCAATCCTGGTGTCGTGGAAGTAACGGCTGTAGAGGTTACTCGGCTGGCACCAGACACTGATATTGCCGGGTTGATACTTTGAACCTTATTAATTTGAACATCTAAGAAAAGCAAGGTACTATTGAGCAATCAGTAGCAATTGTCAAGCGGAAAAAAGCCGGACTAACAAAGTTCCGCGATTATGTAAGCCAAGTCAGACAAGTACAGGAACACTCATATGAGATGTTAAAACTGTAATTTTAAATAGCCTCACACCATAGAGGGTAAACACTTGCTCTGCATGGTTCACACCGAGGCGTGGGAAAATAAATGCACCACATAACCCAACAGGCTTTGAATTAAGGCTAATAAATTGTAAGGGACAAAATGGTACTAAAAGTAGGCTATTCAACAGGAAGGCCAACTTATATGACAATATTTTATATTCAATGAGCCAAATTTATTAAGTGACTCCAACTTATGGACTATTTAAACCGCACTGTGGTCCAGGTGGGATTATGAGGACGAAAGCACAATAAGTGATTACATTTTAAAACGAATTACTAAGCAATGAGGACATATTGCAGATGAACTTACTTTGAGAACTGTGCAGTGACCCTGAGGGTGGGGTTGAAATGTTGTTTTGACGTATAACAAAGTTTCGAGTTGAAATAAAGGGAACCACGCCGTTTGGTGTGCTATCTGAAGTCGCCGCCTTGGATGTTTTGCTAGTTAATTCAGACGTCAAATTTGCCACTTGAGAGGGTTCAGCAACAGAAAGAGGTCTTTTAGTACCCTTCACATGTAAAAAAGGACAAACCAATCAGAGTATAACTTCATTGAGAAGAAAAACTACCAATATTAAGATACCTACAGAAATGCAGGCCTGGATGATCGGCTTAGATTGAGGAGTCAGCGCATTATGCTGAGGCTCATCAGGATGAGATGGCGCTGATACTGATGTCATGCGCTTGGAGTTCGATTGCTCATAGTGTACAGTGCGCTTCAGAGGTAGTTCAGCAATAAGACTAGCCTTTTCCTCAACCACACAGGAAAGTGCATCCAATCTTGTTAGCTCGGCTTCACAAGTTATTTCCACAGCGGCCTCTGGAACAATGGTTGATGCAGTATCTCCATCTTGAGAGGTAGTGTTTCCAGACAATGTTACTACTGGTTTCGGTTCACCGTCTTCACTCTTCGTAAGGTCCTAAAAATGAAGATGTAAACAATTCATATGGTGCAACTTATCATCCACTGAGAAAGTACGGTGAAACGGTAAGACCCACAACGTAAGCAGAGTGCCTCCCAAAAGTGTAGGCAAAATTTGCAGAAAAAAGGATTAAATTGATCGAAAAAACATACTACTTCGATTCGACTTGGAGCTTCTTTCTCCTTTTGATTAGCCTTAGTTTCTTCTGCTTCGCCTACCGATTCAGCGACAGACGTTTCAGCGGGCTGAGGCAGCTGATAGTTTAAGGAACCCCAATGCCTTGCGGCTGCATCCGCCTCAGGCAAGAAAGCTGTTTTTGGAACACCGCGTTGTAAAATTGGCGCATATCGGCGTCCTTCAATCACCCAGTTTTCATCAGTGTCTTTGCCACACACACTAAGAGGAATAAGTCTAAGGGAAACATACAATTTCGAAATCGTCGCCAATTCTTCATCGTTTACAGCACGTCTCACTTCTGCCTTGTGGCGGTCGCAGGCAATGCTCAACAAACGCCGAAGATCCTCAAGAAGTTTCCTTTTCTCCCCAGTTAGAAGACCCTGTGCCCGGAATGCAGTGACTACTTTTGCGTATGCTTCAAGTTCATGTCTTCGAAGGATACGCCAACAATCAGTTTTCGAGTAGTCCACCAACATTGGCCATGTAATGCTATTGTGTTTATTGTACGCAATATTTTCAACCATACTTCGTTCAATTCATTAAAAACCTGTAAGTTACAAGTCTTAGTAGTGTGCATGGAATGAGAAACGGGTTCCAGTCATAAATGATGACATTCACTGACATCGCCTTACCTCAGATACGCCCAAAACAATTTAACCGAATAGTAAACTCGTAAAAAGCGGATCGCCGTTGCATTGCTATAAACAAGAGTGATGGTGATGATACCGTCAAAAGTGATATGTACTCACATATTGTTATATGCATTCTTATCTTATTGTTCATACGAAAATTTATATGTAACTAACCTAGGGCTGTCAATTTTTTAATTGCTTATAATGAAAATCGAAGTTATGTAATTTGAGTGTCCGTAATGCTGTCTATTAGCTTTCGACGAACTTGCACTGTAGTGACTCGAGGCTTTTCACTACTTAGGAGAAGGCCAAAAAGTCTTTTAATATGAGGCGAAAGGATTGGCGTTAGAATGGTCCGAGGGCCAGCTTACAGATATACTGTCAGAACCGAATACCCCTGTGACCGGCATACGTCAAATGGTCATATAAACGAAGCATTACAAGATCAGAAACGAGATAAAGCACACAAAGCATGTGCAACGCTTCCATGACTTCCTATAAAATAGACTAAAACATTAACAGGTGCTTAATGCTTGCAGTCACGCGGTATCGTATCATCCCAAGTCTTCTCACTAGGTAAAAGAACAGTCACTTGACTGGAAACAGAAAATAAGAGAGTCGAAGGGAGATTGGCTACTGTTTGGCCTAAAGGCCAAAGGAAGCAAAATGCCAATGTAGAAGCCAGGCGGTTGCATAAAGAAAGTATTACAATAAAAGAGAGAGTTTGGGCTTTGACCTAGCCCAAGGGCCAGCCCACTCGG